AGCAGGACCATGGTCCAAAAATTACCAGCTAGCCCCTGTTTAAAGTCCAATAATACATTGTCACACCCTGATCTGCACATGCTCAGTTGCTCTCTATTTTTCGTCTCCCGAAAATGTAGAGGCCGATCTGCTGACTGCCTAAAGATTTACTGAATTTCAGGGACTCAGAGCTTTAGCAAAATGTCAGCCTCCAGCAAGAAGAAACAGGTGCAATGCTGGAGGCAGTTTACTTCACCAACTAATTTTGGTAGCATATTAATGTGGAATTCCTTACTAAAGAACATAATTTTTTATCAAGTTGTTATGGGTAAATTTCAGCTTTAAATAATATTATAATTACATTTTCAGGTGTCTGCATCACTCCTTGCTATCCATAGATGGATCAAAATGCATCCGGCTCAGCATGGACCAGACAACTTTTGATCCATGCATGGCCTTTCCTGAGTAGGAATGTTGGAAAATTTGTTGATCAGCAACATCAGCCAATTAGCAGTAAGGAGCAAAATTTGGAGTTTCCTTTTCTATGAAATTGAGCCTAAAATTGAGACATTTTAGCTAAATTTTGTGTGCAATGCATTGAACTTAATGGAAAAAGCTGAGTTAAGGTGTTTTTTTTGGTGTTTTTATTCCCTTGTTGGGTGCTGCCATCATTCCTCTTGCACATAATGCCATTTAAGCTGACAATGACAAGCTCCATGTTTTTTGTGATGGTTTTTATCACTGTTCTCTTCATATGTCAGCAGACAGGGCTAAGGGTAAGCTATGGAGATTGCATATGACTGTGGTGTTTAGTGCATTTGGGCTGCACATTTTGGGAAAATAGGGATTGACTTGAATCAGTTGATATAGAAAATCACAAAAAAATCATTATATTTATATGCTTAGAATGTGGAAATGTTAATTTTAAATCTATTCAAGTATTTTTTTTTATAGATGACCTAATGCACACCATATTTGTGAAGAGTAGTTAGAAATAACTGAACAGCTCTGATAATATTTTTTTTTTACATCTGCCACACTATTCCCTATAAATTTTATAGGCTGCAGTGTGTGAAAATTCCAGGTCAGCAGTTATTTCACTGACAGTCATGGATTCCATACAAATCTATGGGAAAGCATATAAGCACTTTAGCTGATTTGGTATGCATTCTATGACATTTATAAATGAATCTATTTAGTCTGTCTTCTTTTTTCTTTTTCTAGAAAAAATTATAATAATGTAGAAAGTTTGACAACAGTGTAATGGAGAACTTAAAAGTATCAAGTTGTTAGTCCTATTAGGGGTATTATAGACATTATTTTGCATCGTATTCCCATTTCTAGGGGATTAATATAAAATTAGTGTGGGGAGTAGGGGTGTAGTTTGGAATTCCCTGGGATATTTTAAACATTTTGATTCTTTTGACATTTTACAGTCTCCTGCTGTGAACTAGTAAACTATGCCTTATTGGTAGACATCAATACTTTGTGATTGAGAGATCCTCTCTTTTTTTCTGCTGGGTCCTTATGCTCATGTCTCTTTTCTACTGGCCTCCTGCAAAGTCATTGATGCCATTTAGGTAATATGCTAACAGAGCTTGTTAGATTTGTTTATTGTGATTTTATTATGTTATGTGTGTATTTTCATTCTCTGGCTTGTTTTGTACAATTTCAGAGCTTTATACTTTGTCTCCCTGAAAAAGCGGGCTGTATCCCCCAATTCCTTGTGATTCACCATGACTTTGTAGCACTACCCCTGTAAGGGCTGTTGGTATTTACTGGTTCTTCCCCAACAAGTACAGAAACGTAGCCATGGGGTACTTAAAATTACTCAATAGTTGGTAATGATAGTCCAGTGAGGCATGGACAGCCTAAGGGCAAATCCCTCTGACTCTGGACCCCTCCTGTACAGAAGGAACCCCACTCTACAGTGTCTCGAACTATGTATCTCCATTCCAGCCTCCTACTGGACACACCTCCCCAGAGATTAGCTGGAACCTGTTAAATATTTAGGATGCTTGTTTTTAATCCCCCCCCCCCCCCCAAACTCTGGAAACTTCTTTCACAGGCAGGGAGAAGCAATCAAACTCCCAGCCTGTGAAAGCTCTGAGCAGGCCAAAACAAATAATTACTGCTCCCTTTATTACAGAAGGAGCCAATAACTAAATTTGCCTATGCTAGGAGGGTGCTACACATTGTTAACCATAGATCTCTTCTTCAGCAGTAAATGACCAAGACAACTTCTGTTCAGAATAAAAACTCCATTTACTGACTAATTATGTAATTTACTCCCGAGGTAGAACATTTCAGTATATAACATCATCCTCATAATTATGTGCAATTCATTCAATTGTCTGTGCATATGATTAGCTGTTCTGTCCCTAGTTCTGCTGCCAATATCTTTAGCATACTGAAATCCTTGTAACAAGTCCATACATGTAGATACCCTAAAGACTGGGTCCTATTGGAGGGGAATGGTGTCAGAAAAGCAGATGCAGATCACATGGTACACTAGTCCTCACTCTGCAGCTCCCACACCGAATTCCTCACCACAAGTCCAGCTCCCTTGTATACATGCGCACACAGCATTAGTTTGATCACCCCTGCTCAAATTAAAAATCTAGGAATGTATCTTTTTGTGATTTTATTGCTGAGAAACAAATAACGTGGAGGGTAAAGGGGTATGAGATAGTCCAAAATCTTAAGCTCAGATAGCAAAGAACACATCTGATTCAGTAACAGTGGCTCAAGTGAAAGTAGACTGGAACAGTCTATAGACTCACAGCTGGGGACCAAAGGCAGTTTCAACACATGTAGTAGTAGACTGGAACATTGTATAGGTTCACAGCTGGGGACTATAAAATGGTTTTAGCACAAGTAGAGTCTGTGTCCTGGAACAGGGTTAGTCCATATATGCAGCCTCCTGTAGAATATTCCAACCTCCAGTCCAGAAGGGTTCCAAGAGCAAGCACTCTCTTCCTCTCATCTTCCAGATCCATCCCCACATGGGGGAAAAGACAATCTCCTCAGGGCTCCAGATTATTTAACAGCAGCCCAGCCACCATCTGGGCACACCTCCCCAGGGATTGGCTAGATCCTGGTTAATAATCAGGCTGGACATTTGAATTCTCCCTCCCTAAGCTCTAGAAACTTCTTCTAGAGGCAGGGGAAGTAATCAAGTCTTTAGCCTGTGAATCTCTGAACAGACAAGAGAAAACAATCACTGCTCCCACAGAAATCAAAAGCTATATTTACCTATCAGCCTAACTAGGAGGGTGCTACAACTAATCCTCCAAGAATAATCTATGCAAATCCAATACTTAATGACCTGGTAATATATTTTTTTATAAACATCCTTTCTTACTGTGTTTTTCCACCAAACCTCTCCTTTTCCCTTGGAACGAGAAATCCATATTAGTTGTGGTCATGTGATCTATGCACACTACAAATCCCATACTCCCTAAACCATCTCAGGAGCAAACAAGAAAGGTTGGCTAGGATTCTATATACAATGGGACCATGAACATAACCACTCTCCAGGAAGTCAGGTCACAGCAGCAAACAAAAGGAATTTGGAAATTTGGAGAAGGCTGAGAACATTAAAAAGTACTTTTCTGAATTAAGTAAACATATTTGAATAGAATTTTTTAAAGCTGTTGAAATGTACAAACACTTTAATTACTGAGCTGTAGTTATAGGACTCCCTATTTGGTTGCTTGAGCAAACAAACAGACATAAAAAATGAAGAGGCAGCTCAGCGTCTATTACAGCAGATTTCCAAAAGTTTCTCTTTTCTTATCTTACACTACACACACTCACACAAAGCACTTATCTGTAGAAGACCATACACAAAAATATAAAAAGTTACTAGTTTTTATTTTTTTTATATCCATATATCTGCAACATATTGACTTGTCTGAAACAGAATAAAAGAATAATTAGCTATAAAAGTATTGTATAGTTGAGTCACGGATACTCCAAAAAGAAACAAAAAAAAGACTATCTTTGTATGAAGAACACAAACACTTCCTGGCCTATAGACACACCATGTTTGCTTTGCACAGCATAAAGGATCAAATACACAAAAGAAGCGTGAAACAATAGATACTGCTGGCTGGCTGATTTGCGGTCAGATTGGGGGCATTTTTATAGCGTATTTTAATTAAAAGCTCATTTTCAAGAATAGTTTATTGCTACAGTTTCCACGCTTCTCTGTTCTGCAAGAGCAAAGACATTAGAAACGGTATCTGCTCTCGGAAAAACACTACAACATCGCATTTGCTCGCCTGTGCTATGTGCCTATTGTTCCATGTACATCTTTATTCTTTTATCTGCTGCCTATTTTTGTTGTTACATGAGCCAAAAGTAAACCTCCTGTGACTCCTAGCCTTCTGCTTGTTTCATCCAGAGCTGGACTGACTCCCAGATCTTCGATGCCGCACTTAAAAATGCTTAGTTTTCCTAAAGCCTTTTTTTTGCAGCATTGCCTAAATTCCACAACTCTGTTTTTTTGGCTCTGCGTCCTCCGTACATCAATATTCAGCTGCGCATTCCTCTGTCTAAAGAGGTGAGATGAGAGCTGTAGTGAATAGGGAATTCTCTGTCAACAAGGGCTCAGTGCTGTTGGGTCATTTCCCAACCGTCCGTAGTTTATTTTTTTTATGAACGCCGATCGAGGAAAAGAGCAGATGGATACGGCAAGCTTGATCTCTCTTTGTATTCGTGGTGCTGGTCATTGAAAAACGAACAACTGTCAAATATCATCCCTCCTAGAAATAAAGATTAAACTGATCTTACACGTAAACTTTATTGTCTTTGTATAATTGTAAAGAGAACAAAAATGTTAGTGTTGCTCCTGTAAGCTAAGGTACCCTTGGGAAACATGATTACACTAAGCAACCACTGGATGTCCCCCACGCCAAGGAAGCTAAAGCAGCTTATGGAGAAAAGAAAGTGATTGCATTTTTTTTTTTTGAGAAAAAAATGCTTTTGTTTGCAGCTAAACAGCGTCTGTTATTTTATTTGTGCAAAAGAAAGAATAGCTTAAAGCTGAACTACAGGTTGATTTTTAAAACAACACAGTTATTTATTCATTAAAAGCATGCTTATACATTATATATTTTTAAATATAACTAGTGTTAGTGCTTGAGTTTATCCTTGAATCCCCTGTAGAGCAGGGGCGGACTGACCATTCGAGCACTCGGGCACTGCCCAAGGGCCGTGGTCAGTAGGGGGCCCCATGAAATGTCCCTGGTACCTTATTTATAGGCTTTTTTGAGTGTGGGCAAGGACACAGGAGCCCCATGATCCCCTATTGCCCCATGAGTTTTCAGTCCACCCCTGCTGTAGAGCATCGCACAGACTGGAAGAAGGAGGACAGCATCAGGTTTGTCAGTAAGCAGCCCATTCATGCTCCAGCAATGCTCAGGTGTGAACTGAGCCTTAATGACCCTCTAAATAGTTTGTTTTTGCCAGCTTTGTTCAAACTATTTAAAGTGTTACTAAACCCACAACAGTAAAATCAGTCTGTATATGCAATGAAGCATGCTTGTTATACTCACTGTGGAACCTAAGGGGTTAATCGTCCACTTTGTTTAAAAGGGCTGTTTGATCCTGTCTTCTCTGATCCTCCCCTTCTTCTACTTTCCCAAATCCATCTGCTGATAGTACAGAGCTCTAGGAGTAACTCTGCACATGCTCAGTTTAGTGTGTATTGTTAGAGAATTTTTATTTCTTTGGAAGAGTGCATGTGGTCAGCACAGGGTCAATCAGCACTATCCAGACAGAGGCTCATGGGTCATGCAGACTCATGGGACAATCATAGGAGAATGTAAACTCCTCCCACAAGCTTTAACCAGTGCCAGACACTGGTTGAAGTCACATGATTGTTATATACTGCTGATGAGAAAAAGTATTTAGAAGTTTATGTTTACTAAAAAACAATCGCATGTCCATGTTCTGTGTACTGTGGGAGACCAGATATAGTGGTCCTGAGCACTTTAACTGCCTTCCGCCTGCCTCATATAATGTCTTTCCACTCTAGCTGCGCATGCATGCCACCAGGGGCGCGCAGCGATCGGTGGTGCGCTGTGTCCCTGGGAAAGAGCCCATGACACAGGCTCTATCATGTGATCAACTGTTTCCATTCATAGCTGATTATTATTATTATTATTATACAGAATTTATATAGCGCCAACAGTTTGCACAGCACTTTACAAAATGAAGATAGACATTACAGTTACAATACAATTTGGTACAAGAGGAAACAGAGGGCCTGGTCGTTAGAGCTTACAATCTAGGAGCTGATCACATATAAAAAGGAAACGCTGGTTATCAGCAGTCCTCTCCTCACGCTGACAGCGCGTGAGAGGAGGAGAGCTGGTAAGCGACATTCCTCAGAGGGGACATCTACACTGATCATCAGGGCACATAGTTACATAGTTAGTCTGGCTGAAAAAAGACAAAAGTCCATCCAGTTCAACCATTAAAAAAAAAAAAGAAGTTATAATCCTATACCCACAGTTTATCCAGAAGAAGGCAAAAATGCCCAACAAAGCATGATCGAATTTGTTCCTGCAGGGGAAAACATTCCTTCCTGATCCCCCGAGAAGCAATCGTATATTCCCTGGATCAACTTTACCTACAAGTTCCTGCAACACCCGATGATCTGCAATATATGCGCATTTGACGCTTAACATTATATGTAAGAGTCCACGGATGTTGGTGAGTGTGGGAACACAGGAGGAGAGCACGGCATTGTGATTTCTGCACCAATCGTTTGGAGAATTACTGCACTTTCTTCACCATAGACTTTAATATTTTTGTCATATGGACTTTTAATACATGTGAATATATTTTGCACTGTTATACAGAGGCAGGGACGTCTTTAAAATTGATTGGACCCTGAGCAAACATTTTTTTTGGCACCCCTTGCGGCAACCCCCCCCCCTCAGCCCCCCACTCTAAAAAATACAATAAATAGCAGCTAGACTCGAAATCAGTTTACTGAAGCAGAGCAGGCAGCAATTGGTTGCCAGTGGTTACATCATATCATTACTGCTCACTGACTGGTTCCTGGAGGTTACAGCATTACATTACGGCTCACTGATTAGTTGCTAGAGCTTACAACACATCATTTATGCTTGCTGATTGGTTGCTGAACATCATTACTGGTCACTGATTAATTGCTAGAGGGTACTGCACATCTTTACTGCTCACCCATTGGCTCCTAGAGGTTACTGCACATCATTACCACTCAAAGATCTGTTGCTAGAGGTTAGTGAACATCATTACTGCAAACTGATTGGTTGCTAGAGGTTACTGCACATTATTACTGCTCAATAATTGGTTGCTAAAGGTTACTGCACATCATTACAGCTCACAGATTGGTTACTGTAGGTTACAGCACACAATCTCCTCCCTTCCTGCACACCACAGATTGTGGAAGGGACAAGACCCACCAATAGACAATTCTAGAACTTAGCAATGAGCTAGTTATTAGCAATGAGCATAACAGAGAACACACAACTATGAAGGAGTACAGGTAGGAACAGAGCCCAATGTGAGCAGCATCTACAAGCATGGGCTGCCATGCAGTGCAGGGTTGAAGGGACACTACATACAGAGTGCAGGGTTGAGGGGTGCACTTTGTATGAAGTGCAGAGTTGAGGGGTGGGCTGTGTACAGAGTTCAGTGTTGCGCTGTGAATGCAGTGCCATATTGAGGGGTGTGCTATGTATGCAGTGCAGGATTGAGGGGCGCATTATGTATAAAAGTGCAGGGTTGAGGGGTGCGCTGTGTATGGAGTTCAGTTTACACTGTGTATGGAGTGCAGGATTGAGGGGTGAGCTGTGTACGGAGTGCAGGGTTGAGAGGTGCGCTATGTAAGGAGTGCAGAGCTGAGGGGTGCGATGTATATGGAGTGCAGGGTTGAGGGGTGCAAAGTGCAGGGTGGAGGAATGACACATACACACACAAAAAACACACACAAACACACAAACAAAAAACACAGACAACACACACAAAACACACAAAAAACAAAAAAAAACACACAAAAAAAAAAAAAAAAAAAAAAAAACAAAACACACAAAAAAAAAAAAAAAAAAAAAAAAAAAACACACAAAAACAAACAAAAAAAAAACAAACAACAACACAACACCCAAAACAAACCCACACAAAAAAACAAAAAAACACACCAAAAAACAAACAACAAACAACAAAACAAACCAACAAAACCCACCCACCAAAAACCAAAAACATAAAAAACAACAAAACCAACCCAAAACACACACAAAAAAACAAAAACCCAAACACAAAAAAACAACAAAAAAAACAACAAACAAAACACACACACACAAACAAAAAACACCAAAACAAAAAACCCAAAAACAAAAAACACAAAAAAAAAAAAAAAACAACCACAACAAAACAAAAAAAAAAAAACCAACCACAAAAAAAACAAAAAAAAAACACAAAAAACAAAAAAACCAAAACACAAACAAAAAACAAAAAAACACAAAATCAAACCAAAAAACAAAACACAAACAAAAACCAAACACAAAAAAAAAAACAAAAACAAACACACACAAACAAACAAAACAAAAAACAAAAAAAAAACACCCCCCCCTTTTACTTCAGCCCCCCTCCCCCCCCTCCATACAGCCAGAGAGAACTGTTCACATGCAAATTTAGCGGATTATGTTAAGTAGACAGTTGCCACTGCCTGTCAATTTCACCTAATCAGGCCAATGGGGCCAACTCCGCAACCGCAAGCCAAATTCTGAAACGTTATCCACTGCACTCTGATAAGCAAACCACCAGGGATCACTTTTCAGAGAATAAATGAGAATGAACTGAGCCTTACTGTCAGGGGCGGACTGAAAACTCATGGGGCCCCCGGGCAATAGGGGATAGGGGATCATGGGGCCCCTGTGTCCTTGCCCAAACTCAAAAACGCCTATGAAAAAGGTACCAGGGGCATCTCATGGGGCCCCCTACTGACCTCGGGCCCTCGGGCAGTGTCCGAGTTTCCAAATGGTCAGTCCACCCCTGCTTACTGTGTATCAAGTACCTTTGGTTCTTTTAGAAATCCTATGCAATGTGGTTTAGTCCTAAAGAATACGACTCCACTTTCTGAACCTCTGATGATTCCTTAGGGAAATCCCAACTATGCTTCCTGAAACTTGCCAAGTAGTATTTAAACCTAAATTATTTCTCCCTCGAGAAACAGTCACTAAAAATTGACAGAGAATCATAACTGCTGTAATTCTGCTCCATTTGCAGAGATAGCAGTTATGATCCTCTGTCAATCACAGAATCACAGAGTAGCAATAATTCTTTGAAAACTTAGCATTTTTTACTTTCTATCCGTTTTGACAGTGGTCACCAGTATGCATAGAGAAGGCAAATCTTCCCACCAGGGACAGACAGCAATACAAATCTGCAGAGGATCCAAACCCTTCCCCCACTATATCTAATAATTTAGAAAAAAGTAAAAGATATACTGTACTTTAAAGTTTAAAATAAACTTTAATTTAAAAATATTCCTCATTAGCTTCAAAAAATACAAATCCATTTCAGGTGAACCAAATGCCTTTTAAGCCCAGATATTATATTGTAAAAACAGCAGCAACATCCTCACTGTGCTGCACATAGCCTGCAGAGAGCAGAGCTGTGGGTGGAACTCAGCAGGTCCTCCCCCTAGAAGCTTCCTTCGTAAAACTACAGGAGGGGGGGGTTATAAGACCAGTGATCCTGCACAAGGAGAGAGAGCAGCAGTGACAGGTCTTTATTACAGGAAACTTCTGCACAGAGACAAAGCACAGGAGTTTTTTCAGGCTGGATCACAGCACATATTTGGAAAAAATACATATTGGACACCAATATTCAAAAAAGAATATACATCTCTTGTATTTAGACAGTATTTGTTTAGCCAGGATTTAAAAGAAAAGTAGGGCTTTTCCCCCCTATTTATACTTTCCTAGGTAAGTATACTTACCTGGTCCCCCGCCTGCTCTATGGGTGAGAACTCAGTGATCACATGATCACTGATCTCTGAGTTTTCACAGCTGCTCTGAGCAGAGTGGGACTGTCAGTCACCACTCTCTGCTCAGCCCCCCCAGCCGCTCCAGTGAGTGGAGGGGCAGGAAGCGGCTGGCTCAGGATCCCAGCATACTGCTGAGAGGCTGAGCTAGGTACCTCTCCAGACTCTGTGGTGGATCCCGACTTTGAAGTCAGGATCTTTCCCCATCCTGGACCAGCTGAGTGACATCAGCCAACAACAGACTTCAGCCTGCTGTCAGCTGAAAACAAGTCAGGAGTGCAGAACGTACTGCACTCTTGTGATCCACAGGAGAAGTACAGCCAAAAGAGATTTGGCTGTACTTCTTCTTTTAAGCTTTAAGTCTCATTGAATATTGTAAACTTTTATTTAACCACCTGCCGACTGTAGATAGATAGCCGAATGACAGCTTCACTGTGGCCGGCCAGTTCTGAGAGCGTGACACAGCTGATCACGTGATGTGGTAAAAGGCCAATCAGCTGTGTCCAATGACACAGCAGATCACCGATAAATGCACTTTCTTCATTCTGTCACAGCATGAGGAAAGTACTGCTGATAACTGCCAATTGTCAGAGGACGGATCGGCACAATCATCAGGGCACTGATCATCAGTGCCCTGATGACCAGTGCCCAGCAGTGCCACCCAGCAGTGCCACCCATCTGTGCCCAGCAGTGCCACCCACAAGTGCCCATCACTGCCACCCACCCACCTGTGCCCAGCAGTACCACCCACCAGTGCCCATCAGTGCCACCCACCAGTGCCACCCATCAGTGCTGCCCAGCAGTGCCGTCCATCAGCACCCAGCAGTGCCACAAGTCAGTGCCCATCAGTGCCACCAGTCAGTGTAACCAGTTAGTGCCACCCATCAGTGCTGTCTATCCGTGCCCATCAGTGCTGCCTATCAGTGTCCATTAGTGCCACCTATCAGTGCCCATCAGTGCCCAACATTGTTGCATATCAGTGCCACCTATCAATGCCCATCAGTGCCCGTCAGTGCTGCCTATCAGTGCCCATTAGTGTGCCTATAAGTGCAGCCTCACCAAAGCACAACTGTGAAGGAGAAAAATTACCTGTTTACAAAATTTTATAATACCACCAAAAGAAAGATCTATTTGTGTGAAAAAAAATGATAAAAATTTAATATGGGTGCAGTGTTGCATGACCACGCAATTGTCACTCAAAGTGCAACAGCGCTGAAGGCTGAAAATTGGCCTGGGCAAGGACGGAGAAAAAATGCCTAGTAGGCAAGTGGTTAAACATCCAGTTGGTCCCATTGAGATCCATTCTGGAGTTGTCCAACAGTGGACCCACTATCCTTCAGTGCTGCTAGAAAGGAGATGGATTTGGGAGTCAAGGTGCTGGTCGCTGGCAGCAGGGACCACTCTAGAAACCAGCACTGCCATTCACAAACAGATCATTCAAAGGCATGGGCTGCTAAAGACTGGATTCCTTTCACTACCCTCATGACATCAGTGCCATGGAGCTCCCCAGAACCCCATTGATGAAACTCCACGCGCTGTGGTAGTTCATTGAAAACTACAAGCTAATAGGTGCCAAGGCTGTCGGGACTTGCAGTTCATTCATTCATGGAAGTCCGTGAATGAATGATGCAGTCGTGTGGGCAGAGCCTCACATCGCCGCGCTGTTTTCAAATGTGACAGATAGTGTGGGGAAACTTCTCACCATACTATCTGGGGGGGGGGGGGCGAGCGAGTGCTGCGGCTATGGGAACATGTTACATGTTCCACCCTACCAAAGGGGGGAAGATGTAACATGTTCCCAAAGATGAAGTTTAAAGGGTGTTTTTCAAGTTTCGGTTGCTCATAGCATAACTTTCACTTGTTGCTGATCATCTGCTTTTATAGCTGCCTTTATTTCACCACTGCATAATTTGAAAAAAAAAATAAATACAAGAACAGTGTGTACCTGAACCAAATCAAATTATAGCATTCACCTTCACCCCTGTAGTAAAAAAGTTAGACATACATCTGTTAGACCCAGGGGCGGACTGACCATTTGGAAACTCGAGGGCCCGGGATCATTAGGGACCCCATGAGATGCCCCTGTACCTTTTTCATAGACTTTTTTGAGTTTGGGCAAGAACACAGGGGCACCATGAGCCCCTATTGCCCGGGGGCCCCGTGAGTTGTCAGTCCGCCCCTGGTTAGACCTGTTATCCTGAATGTCCTGCAGCTGCACAATTTATACTACGGTACCATCTGTGGTCTCTTATTGTTTAATGAGCATATGATGGAAATTGGCTAGCAGCAGTGGAATTTTGTATCAGTGAGAACCAAGACAGCTTAAAAAAACTATTGGTCAATTTCTATGTGCTAGTCAAAGCAGTCATATTACCACTTGTAAAAAAAAGTATGACACTGCTAAAGCCAACCAAAAAAAATGAAACCGAAATAATCCAGCACAGAGTAGAGCTTTAACCTTTAGCCATTGGCATGATGCACTAGTGTGTCCCATGGCAGGTGGGCCCTAACTCCAACTGTTCTGTGCTGAATGCTTCCAGTCTCTGTTTATAACCCTAACTCTGCTTCGAGGAACCAAGACAATGTTAATCCTTCCTCATTATGTATCAAAGACATAACTTTCTGGGATCTACAAATGGTCAAATGGTAGTGATTCAATGATGGACAGAATCTTTGTGTGTGTGGTAATAAAAGTAATATGTGTGGGTGTTTCGGGATAGTTAGTTAAAACCTTCTTTTTCCCTTCAGTGCCACACATGTTCACTTTTCCTATCCCTTCCCTTTATTTAACATTTATTTTTATGGACATTCCTGATTTGTAAATAATTCAGAACTTCAGGTGATGCCTGACCCTGAGACACAAGTTGAATTGTAGGTTCAGACAAAACTAGTATAACCAAATAATGAAGCGAATATAAATATTCCACACAGAAACCTAAACTTTTGTAATTTGTTAAGAATGTTAACATTCTTGTGTGAGCCCAGCTGAAATCTATTTCTTTAATGCTTGCCTACCAACAGAGCAAGCGGCAGAAAATGTTGGTAAGACTCTGATTTCTAAAAGAATGGAGTTTTGGGGAGTACAACTATATAAGAGAGAGAAACAGGAAGGTGCATTACCTAGTGCATTACCAGCGATTTATTTGTATAAAATTCAATACATGCCAAGTGAAGAAGAGGAAAAGAGATGTGTTTGTGTTTTTAATGTCCTTTCCTTTTCTACTTTTGTGAGTATTCACTTGGCATTTATTGAATTTTATACAAATAAATCGCTGGTAATGCACTAGGTGTTTATGCCTTCCTGTTCTCTCTTAGCAGTTGCTACAAAATTCCCCTATCTGAGGAGGACTGCAGCAGCTAGGCATTCTTGGTGGAACTTATGGTGATCCATTTTTTGCCCCTTCTGGCAGTGGCTGTATTCTAAGCGTTAGGAGTGACTATTTTTGTTATGCTTATTTGGAGTACAGCCTGCCAATTATTTTACCATTCTATGAGATAGTTCTGATACAGGAACTTCCCAGCAATTTAGGAATAGGATATACTACCTTTCCCAATGCCTTCACCTCCACAATGCCACTCTATTCTGTGGAAATCCTCTTCTAAAGACCTCAGGGAAACCACTTCCTTAGGAGAGTTTTTCTCCTGGTTTCCCCTGCAGCTATGGTTGGTTCTTCCAGCTACCCTCCACTCATTACAGGATTCAGCACTGACATGGAGATCAGCAGATGGAACCAATGAGAACCGCATGAAAAAACAAGAGATACACACTCCCAGAAATGTTGTTATGCTAAGAAGAGTTAGTCCTAACAAAAGGATTTATATGACATTCTTGTGGTTCAAGAAGTGGGAAAGGTAAATATTCCCACTCTTATTTTGCAGGTATGCCTGTTGTAAGAAACAAATCAATGTAGGGTCATATTAAATGATATGTGCATTATAAGAGAATTTATTCTTTTCTGCCTCCCTCACCTAACATGTTCCTAGCACGATATACAAATGTACAGCCTAGTTCCCTGAGAATTTCACTATACAATGTTATAGTCTATTAGGGCTCTTTTGCACTTGCTTCAAAATGTGGCTTTGGACATTTTTTAAAGTACTCTGAATGTCAATCAAAATACCTGTCACTGAATAAAATGGTAAGATTAAAGTCCTGTTTGCTTTGCTTTGCTTCAAAAATTCATTTCAAATTGCTTCAAAGTGTCTCCAAAGCCTCCACAGAAGCCTATGACAAAGTTCACTTTTGAAAGGCTTTTATTCAGCTTTAGTTTTGCTTTGTTTTAGAGGTATTGCAGATATGAGATATCCCAAGAAGCAATGGGAAACCAGCAATGGAACACGAAAAAACGTAATCAGCAGTCCCTCCTATTTCATGTGTACATATTCTGGACATTTCTGGATGTCACATCTGGTGTGCAGGGAGAAGCAGAAGGTGAGCAGAGTCCAGACTGGAGCTGAGCAACTAGCAGATGGCACACATGGTTTGTAACATGGGCGCTCTATAGTGGAAGGTGAACAGGGACCAGAGAGGGAAAATTGAGCAGCAGAGGATCAGCAGAGCAGGGGGACATGGAGCAGGAGAAACTAAGAATGTCAAATGGAGTGTGCAGTGTGGGAGCAATGTAGTAGGAGGAGATAGAGAGATAGAGGAGGAGCAGCAAACCAGAATATCAGCAAAGCTGGGGATTACTACTGAGTGAAGGATCAGCAGAGCTGGAGGTTACTATTGAGTGGGGGATCCACAGAGCTGGGGGTTACTACTAACCAGGGGGATCAGCAAAGCTGGGGGTAGTATTAAGTGGGGCATCAGCAGAGTTGAGGTTAATTTTGAGCAGTGGATCTGCTGAACAATGGTACTAATAAGCTGGGGATGTGCTGAAAAAGGGTAGTAATGAGCTGTAGATCTGCTGAACAGGGGGATTAATGAGCTGGGGATCTGCTGAGTGGGGTACTATTGAGCCTGAGTTCCACTTTAAAACAAACCCAAAATCAACACACACAGGGCATTTGCCAAGCTTCATTAAAGCTTCAAATAAGCATCACTGAAGGATCACTGATGCATGAAGGAGCATCACCAAAGCGTCAAAAAAGCTTGCTGAAGTGGCAGGAGCTTTAATGTGTATTACAGTTGAAGTAAGTGTAAATGAGCCCTTATAGTCTCTTCCTGAAATTCTACTTAGACTTGCACATGTTGTTGCCTCTATTCACTTCAATGGAAAGCTTGTCTATCAGCCTGTCAGTGTTAATTTATGAAAATAATAATTACAAAAGCTCATCATTTTAAAACCATACTTTGCTGTTTAATTAGACCACAGTTCTTCTTTAATGTGTTTGTACTTTGAAATAGATTAGCCCAGAGACAAATAAATGGCCTTAATGTATATATTGGACTGAGTGTCCTCACACAACCTTGTTTGTTCCTTTTCTCCATTTGAAATTAAATACACTGGATAAAAACATCTAAAGATAAGAAAATTCAGTTTTAAAACACTTCAGTATATAACACATTCCAGGCAAATTATTTCTGTGGAGAGATATATATATACACAGACACACATTTTTATTCCACAACGTGTCCTAATTTAAGATAGTGTGATTTTTTTTTTTAATTGAACTATGATCAGATCCAAAAATGACACATTTAATAACAGGGTAATCTTAGATAGACCTGTAATTTTAAATTGACTTTAAGTAAACAACAAATGAATGTCCAGATCCAGCTAATACATTTTAGGCAGTTACAGCAGCATTTGTTGTCTGCTAAAAAGAAAAAGGCTAAATAAAAAGACTGAATATTGCAACCCAACATCTGTAACTGTCACTTTCAATGGATAGCCTGGCCAGCATGTAAAGGTGGAGAAAATATAAATAAAAGCCTCTGAAATAAATAGCTTTTATATACTGAATACTAGCCATACATGTATTAATTTTAAAAGTCCTTCAAAGAGAACATATCATTAAAAAAAAATTAGTTGCAGGTATGAAGAGCAAGCACCTAGAGCAGCATAAATTCAATACACCTCTTATAAGAGAATACACCTCTAATGCAAAAATCCCCACCCGAAAGTCAAACTTTCTCCCTAGAAAGTACAATTCATATAAACCTTTCTAACACCATGCCACATGAGTAAACTGAATAAAACTAGTCAAATAACACAAACTACATAGAAAATAATAGGAAAATAATAAAGTCCAAAAAAAGTCCAAAATGTCCACCAAGTCAAATAAATCAATAAATCTAGTGGGAAGGATTCCAATCCTAATTTAATCCTCGTGGTACCTCGAAGAAAGAATATTTATATAGTGCATTATCCTTTTAATAACAAATAGCAATAAAAGTGCAACATTCCAATCCATGTAAATTCAAACCACTCAAAATGTGATTATAAGTGATAATGCAAAAAAAAAAATATATATATATAATATATCTATCACAATTAAATATATCCAAAAATACTGAAAAATATATTTGAGTGAACCAAAGCCAATCTTCAGTGAGTACTTCAATAAATAAGTGAACACTCAGTGACCACTACAATTCATACAGTGAACACTCCGTGAACACTACATATAGTATAGTGATATATATACGAAGTCCGGAAGTAATGAAACGCGTTAGAGACGTGATGTCAAGGCGCACACATGGAAACCGGAAGTGCCGCCGCGGCCATTTTGATGGTGGGAGAACGTGATTCCTATGCCCAGGGACTGCAGGGCTTGTTCTGTCTATTGTAGAGCTGATACCCCTATGTAAGTTTATATTAAATTTATCCCTACACTCGAAAAATTTATTCTAAGAGTCTTCTTCTGTTTTGTGAGGATTATGGAGGATGGGCTCCTGAAGTGAATGAACACTGGGGAGCTATATTGACACCAGGAATATTGGATGAGCTTGTGAATACTACCAGAGGGTAATAGTATTTAGTATCACTATATGTAGTGTTCACGGAGTGTTCACTGTATGAATTGTAGTGGTCACTGAGTGTTCACTTACTTCCCACTGGATTTATTGATTTATTTGACTTGGTGGACATTTTGGACTTTTTTTGGACTTTATTATGTTCCTATTATTTTCTATGAAGTTTGTGTTATGTCCTAGTATTATTCAGTTTACTCACGAGGCATGGACCTAGAGCAGCAGCCTCCCAATCTCTCCCATCATAGATAAATCCAAGGGCGGACTGA